TTTTATGACTTTGAGCAAGTTGTCTAAACTCTCAAACCCAGTGTTCTCATTTGTAAGGTAGAAATAACTCTAGGATTTGAAACTCATTATGAAGATTCACAATTCTACACACACTCAAGCACACATACACATTGCAAGCAGCAAGTGGTGGCTGTTTTCTTAGGGTGTTCTGAACTCACCTACCTCCTTTCCAGAAACTCAGTCTCTTGAGACTGCTGGATGTGTGGCACATGTCCCTGGACTAATTATTTCCAACTGTTCTCACCATGCTGCCATTTTCAGTTGAAACTCCCATTGCAAAAGGTGCAAGCTGTCCCCATCTGTGACATTCAAGCATTTTTTAGGATCTTCTAGACTTTAAATGCAGGGTGTTAATGGGACCCATCTCAGAATGGCTACTCCAAGGAAAAGAATCAGGGCAGTGCCCTAACTCTTTTCTCTCTCTCTCTCTCTCTCTCTCTCTCTCTCTCTCTCTCTCTCTGGGTGTTAACAAGAAACCATCTGTGACTGGATAGAAGCAACAAGAAGTGTTTAGAAAAGCATTAAGTGAATAGGACAATACAAAGCAGTGCCAGGAGCAGCACAGACCACTTGTGTCTCCATGACTTCTTACCTCTGTTAGCCTTTCCTCTCTGTCTTCCTCCACCACATGCCCTAAAGTAGCCCTCTTTCAGTCTTTGCCAGTATTTCTACCAAGTGTAGTTATACCTCCCTGAGTCTTCTCTCCCTGGTGAATATATTTCCTTCTATAAGCAAAGTACCAGAAGCTGTACATTCTCCATTGTGCAGATAACATGGATTGGAGGGATGAACAGAGTTTATCCATGTGCAGGTCTTTGCAAAGTATTGCTATAAATAAGGGAATTATGAAATCTTTTGCATGCAAGGCATTTGAAAGTTACCATTTATTGAAACTGGAACAAAAACTTATTTCAAGAAAAGATAAAAGTGGCACACAGTCTACTTGGCCTGAAGCCTGTTCATTGCCATGCAGTGAGTTTCTGCCCCCACCAAATTTGAAGTCACTTACAACCCCACGGTGTTATTGCTCTCTCTGGATTGGATAGCACTGTTGTCAAGGAACCTGGAGAAATTTGGAGTAGAGGAGGAAATGATCTCCAGGGAGTCTAGTGGGAAAGAGATAATGAGTAAGCTAAAGTCCAGGATTGCAAATTAAGGTCTGTTTTACAGAAGAGGAAACATTACAATTCATTTCAAATCTCTACTAGGGTTGATTTCAATTTTTTTTAAGCATGTATAAAGCTAACTTAATGGAAAATACATATGTTGTATCATATGATATTATATAATATAAATAAATGAGAATATTTATATTTATTGTATCTGCAGGGTCACTGCAAGAGGTGGTGGTAAACCACATCTCCCTCCAAAGCACGTGGTACATGGGAGGAAACTGCCTGTCAGTGGCTTGCTCTAATGGACTGAATAGGAACCCACAAAGGTTCTCTGTCTTGGGCCTCATTCGGGTGGATTTAAATGCCAGAAAAACCAGAAGGCATATATCTCCCATGGCATAAGCCCAGACAGTATGTTAACTAGCAGAGTGTTGTAGTTAGAGTAGTTAGATGGGAAGTGTAACTCTAGGGAAAGGAAATCCCGGGACAAAGTACCTCTAAAACCAAAATCAGTCAAAGAGAGAAATAAAGGTTAAAACCTGTTTATTGCTTACAAACTGCGGTCCAGGGCTGTTTCTCTTTCCAGCTCTGACAGAAGCAAGCCAGCCCTCACCCTAACTTTCAGTTTCAGATAAGCCCTTGGTCACCCAGGTAATTACCCATTGATATGTAGATGAACTACTGCTCTCCACCCCTGAGGAATGCCTGTTGATACGCCTATGAATTAAAGCCAGGAGAGATATTATGAAAATATTACAATTTTACCCACAGGAAGTCAGATTTCTTAGGAGACCATCATAACATGTATATGACTCCCAACATGGAGTGCAGGTGCAGAGTCCTGATGGGAAAACCACATTTGTGGAGCCGCAGGCCAGGATACAAGAACATTTGTGGGAGTTCCACCTCAGGATTCTAAGTTTTTAAAGTCTGCTTTGTCAGTAGACTTCATTATGCTCAATCTTTTGGGCTCCAAAATTACATGAATAGCCTTAGAAAAATTTAAAGAACACCAAATATGGGAGGTTTGTTAACATTTTACGGAGCTCTTCATGGTTTGTAATGGATTTTAATATGACTGTAAGAATTTAAAATAATGAGCTCTGGGGGTCCTTCAATTGAACTTGAGTAAATTATTCATCACCTCCTTAAAATTCAGTAAGACTGAGGGTTTCCATCTGATGTACTAAGCTGTCACAAAAGAATTGCTGTGTACTTGGCACATGGGCTGGTTTTCCACTATGGCCTCGCTGACAGCATAGAGAATATAAATGGGATGTGAATTTAACATTTCCTATTCCATTAACAAAAATTATTTATATAACCATCAGAAGAAGAAACTGGCTTTCAGTAAGGATCTACGCATTGGTGATATTAAATCTCTTAGTGGCAATATATAACTGGCATAACAGTGCATTAGTGCAGAAAGAGACCTAGACTCCTGTGACCATTATCTCTATTGCTTGGAGATAACATTTTATTTTAGTAAGTGGAGATTTAGTTAACAATCTAAGAGAAAGAGCTATGGTCACTAGGAAGTAAAACTTGTATTTCAAAAATATTCCAAGACTAGAAATTTGTTTACTTTTTTCCCTACTAGAGCCAAAATCATGTAATTTATGGCAACAGATGATGGAGAAGAAGTGGGCTGTATAAAATAAGTGTGTTGCAGTTTCAGCAAAGATAATTTATAAAAATGCTATGAAAAATAATAAAATAATGGACTTAAAATCTTTCTTACCTGAGCCATCTGATTCAGCTAATTTAATGTTTCTTCCACAAAATTCCTGCCCAAGTGAAACCCATCCCTTGCTGTCTCTGCTTAAGCTCTGTTAAAATTTTGTGGATTGCTTTCCTGTTGGCTTTTATATGGTTCAGTAACATTCCATTTTCAGATTCTATGTCCATGTCCAGATTGCACACATGGGAACACCCTTCCTTACTGTCTGGCTTCAGTCGCACCCCTGACTGACTCTGGTCTTATGTGGCATGTAGCAGCACAAACCCTCATTGCTCAGTTGCATTTTTTCATCAGAAATAAATATTTGACTTTCTCCTTTGGCCTTTTCTTGCCATGCTCATTGTTCAGCAAGCTCTTGCCATCCTTTCTCCTACTCTCTGGATGCTCTTACTTGCCCTTTTCCCGCTTTAAGTATGCCCAGAATTAGCCATGGCATCCCAGCAGCTGTAGGGTGTGCCAAGACCAGATAGATTCAGGAACTGATGCTCAGAAAACCAGTTCTTAATCCTTTTGAGAGTGTAAACTCTGAAGCCTCTTCACAGAAAAACACACACATATGGACATACAGGTTATGGGTAAAAATGCAATATTTCCAGAATCTCCCAACTGGCCTTAGCAAGCACATCTCCATATCAATAGGTGTTTCCAAGGGGTGGAGAGAAGTAGTCATCACTGTATCAATAGGTGATTGATTACACAGGGGAACAAGGGCACATCTAGTCCTGAGAGGTTAGTTACATGGGGTCGTTTTTCTGCAGCTGAATTATGAGAGGTACCGGTGAGCAGAAGTGGATGACTGCTTGTAAGCAATAAATGGGTCTCTCCCACTTTATGTCTCCCTTGGACTGGTTTCGATTTCAAAGGTATTTTGCCCCGGGATTCCCACCCCCACCCCTCCAAAGTTACACGGGTGCATACAGCTCAGCAGATTCCCCTGGTTCACTCTTAACCCGTGTGCCTTCCAGGGGATAGATTAACCTCACTGTGGTGCTGACGCTACTCATGACTAACTGGTAGGACTTTTTAATGACCATGTATACCTGGGCCCTAATCCAGGAATTGGTGTAAGGCAGAGAATTTGGGGATCTGAAGCTGAACGGTTTTCAGAGTTGTTTAATTGCAGGATATACTTCAGAAATAAGCTTTTGAAATCACTTTTCAGTTATAATCACATGTGTGAGGTTTTTTTCAGAATCCAAATCCATAAAACATGCATTTATCTGAATTTTTCTGAACTGACTTGTTCAGGCACGTTAGTTGTTTCAGGATGAAGTGCTTCTGAGATTAAAAAATAATAATCCACTGAGCCTTGCACCCAGCAGGGTTTGCTCTTGATGGCATTTGTTGGATAAACTTTGTTAACTGGCTTAGACTGGGAATGACTCAAACCTAGTGGAAGGTAAAACAGACGTATGCTTTGACCGCCAGTGGCCCTTGTGTAATTTTTTAATGTTTTGTGGAATTTATGGCATCATGAAACCTGTGGAAAAGACAAGCGAAAAAAAAAATACTGGTTTCTAAACTGCCGTTTAACTAGATAATTGAGCAAAATATTTTAAGAAGTACTTAATCTTGTGACTTTGTGTGCTTTAATCTTCCTTTTTCTCCTCTTTTTTGATGTTTCTCTGAGCTTACCGCACCCACCGTGGCTTCCTCATCAGCCTATGCCGGGCCTCTGCTCTGTCAGTTCCCCCAGTTGAAGCATGTTAAAAGCTTGCTTTGGACACAAGTGTAGACTGGTGTTTAGATACTAATGAGGATCTTAGAGGAGCAGGGTGGGTGCAGTGTCAGCCTGGGGAAGAAGGTGTCCTATGATGAGCTTTCCCTGGAAGTCCAGGATGGTGGGCACTTGCTCCTTAGCATGTGGAACATCCATCTCTTTCAGCCTGACAATGAATTCAAAGCCAGACTCGATGTGTTGGAAAGACCTGGAAAGATTTTATAGAGAGTAGTGGACTTCCCAAATGCATAGCATCCACCGTTGAATTTACAATTCTGGTAATATCACTTTGAAGTGTCACACCTGGGTGGAGGGAAGCAGGGTGGATGGCAGACATGTTGCTTAAAAACGCATTTTCTATCCCTCTCTTCCTCTTCACTCAGTGACCTCCTTCTCCCTGCAGGCTATGGCCACACTGTGCCCTTGTCAGACGGCGGAAAGGCTTTCTGCATCATCTACTCTGTCATCGGCATTCCATTCACACTCCTGTTCCTGACAGCGGTGGTCCAGCGTGTCACCATCCACGTCACCCGCAGGCCCATCCTCTACTTCCATATCCGCTGGGGCTTCTCCAAACAGGTGGTGGCCATCGTCCACGCCATTCTCCTCGGCTTTGTCACTGTATCCTGCTTCTTCTTCATCCCAGCAGCCGTGTTCTCTATTCTGGAGGATGACTGGAACTTTCTGGAATCCTTTTATTTTTGTTTTATTTCCCTGAGCACCATTGGCCTAGGGGATTATGTTCCTGGAGAAGGCTACAATCAAAAATTCAGAGAGCTCTATAAGATTGGGATCACATGTGAGTACCAAGGGTCACAGGCTCTGCCCCCTTGGCCTTGTTTTGCCATACCGAGTGCCACCTACTAATGAATAGTCATTCATAAAAGTCCTGCTTGCTGTTTCTTTGATAACTTTTCGGTTTTGCCACCTGCCTATAACTATTTCATTTCATCATTATTCCCTTCAAACGTCTTTATGCAAAAATCTTATTACTGAAAGTTACTTTTCCCAGAGACCTTAAAATTACTGATCAATTTCTTCCTAGTAATGTAATAGACATTATATTGCAGTATAAAAATGTGCCACACAGAATATGTGTAATAACCAAATTTTAACAAAAAAGAAAGTTGCTCTACTTCATTAAATTTTTTTTTATTAAGGTATCATTGATATACACTGTTATGAAGGTTTCACATGAAAAACAATGTGGTTACTACATTCACCCATGTTATCGAGGCCCCCCCATACCCAATTGCAGTCACTGTCCATACTTGATTAAATATTTTAAACTTAAGAAAACTAGGTCTAGTTCGTAGCCTGTTACTGTCAATCATGTTCTTTAATTTTCCAGGAAAATCTGGTTAAAATAGTTGTTTATCTCATTTGTCCATCTGGTTCTTTTTCAAAGAAGCTAGCAGACGTTAACCATCTTCAGAATTTCATAGGTGGAAAATAGGCACTAAAATTCAGATGCCCAGTGATTTGTAATTTTTAAACAATTTTTAAAAATTCATGGAATTTGTGATACTGTGGAATACTTAGAAATTCATTTTGAAGAAACTTTATTTTTGTTTGTCCCTTTCCTTTCTTTTCAAGTTGTATAAAATTGCATCATCATGTACATACAGTTTTCATTTCTGACTTCTCAAGAATTTTTCAAGGCTCAGTTTATGTTGTCTTCTAGGAAATCATAGTAGATACTCAGGCAGCCCTGCCATAGTTTTAACCTAACAAAATGCTTAGCTGAACTATGTGTATTTTAATATTTCCATTAAACCATGGGCTCAACCATGACAAGTACTTCACTCAGAAACCCCCATTGCTTTATAGTGCCTGGCTGCCATATGAGTTCAACAAAAATTTACCAAATCATTATAAGGATGATTTCTTATTTCTTCCAGTTACCATAATTATTTTTAATGTCCACCTAGCATTTCACTGGGTGGCAATACTGTAATTTAACAATGCCTCTATCGTTGAATATTTAGATTGCTTCCTATTTGGTGGCATTATAAATAACATTGTAAAAAATGTATTTCTGTATTTACACTTTTTTCTCCTATGATATCTTTCCAAGAAGTGGGGTCACTGACCTAAAGCAAATGTGCCTTTCTGTGACTCACAGAATATATTGACCCAGTACTTTCCAAATGGCATTATAAGTTTATACTGTCACCTAAATGATCTGAATCACAGCACACCTGGGGTGGTGTAGGCCAGTAGCTTTATAGATGTATTGTTGCAGATGTGATAACACAGTTAACCATATCTGATTTTTTCATGACTTAGAGAAGTTAAAATATGTTTCTGTAATTATGTCTGCTGGTTCTACTTTTCTCTTGTGTTGATTGTCATCTCAGAAATTTTTCCCAACAGTTTAACTTTTTCAGTTGTTCACATAATACTAAATACTTGCACATCATTTTAACACTTATTACAGTGCATATCATGGTGTCCCAGGCAATCTACCTAGGATATGTGTTGATGGAGCAAATGCATGTTCCAAAGGTATATTAGTTATGGATAAAATAAAATTCCACAGCTTTTGCCTGGAATCCCATGGGTATTTTTGTCAGTACTCAAAAGAGTCTGACTGAACAATGGGTAAAGGAAAAGGAGGGCATCTGTCAATTAGTCTGTGTGTCACTGCTATTTCCAAAATATGTAATTTATCAATTTATAATGATCAAATATATAAAAATATATTAAATCAATATTACTATCAAATAGCCCAATTCTAATGATACTAGAACTGCATCACTTAATATTTTAAGAGACCATCAGCCTCTTTATTCTCTGTATGCTGCCAATTCTAGCTTTCCTGGTTCATCTATTTTCTGAAAATACTCCTTAAACATTTTACCACTGGGATTTGGAAAGGGGATTTTTGTTGTTTTTAGTTTTCATTTTCACTTTTCTGTTCCTTTCCATGATGAATTTTTTTTTTTTTCTGGAAACTTATTTTGCACATTAGAACTGACCTAGAAATTGCCATTTTCACATCACAGATTCCAAGGACTAGCACTTTACTTGAATCAACAGGTATCTGCCATTTTGGAATAAAAAGCTGGTAGAGCAGAGAATGGTCCACAAGCCCAAAAAACCTGTCACGGAATAGAAAGGTTTGCTGCCAGTCCCCGGTAGAAGTGCAAATAGCCTCACACAATGATGTGTGTAATGTCTACACTCATTCTTAATGGGATTTTCATCTGACTTAATCTGTAACTTCTATTGCTAAGCTTCTTATCCTGTAGTGGAAATAATGGTAAGTGTTGAGTGCTAAAAAGATACCAAGCTTCCGAGCACACAAGATAAATCAAAAGCTCTTCAAAACTGTCACTGGCTTTTTGAGAGCTACTGACTGAAGTGGAGGTGGAGCACCCTCTCCTCAAATGTGTGTGAGCACAGTGCATTATCTCTATTTAACTAGTCCACATCCACCCGGCTACTTTTTTTCCCCCTCAAAAATTGCACCCTGTGATTCTGAATAATCAAAGGGAAGGTTAAGTTCCCTGGGTACTTTTCCCTGGGTAGTCCCTTGGAGCCTGGAATTCAAAACATTCCTAGATGTCTGACAAGGGGCAACAAATGTATGCATCAGAAGACTTTCCATGTCCTTGCCTGTGTGTCCGTGACCAGGTCCTGCTGAGACACTGTTGTTTTTCTCACACAGGTTACCTTCTCCTGGGCCTTATTGCCATGTTGGTAGTTCTGGAAACCTTCTGTGAACTCCATGAGCTGAAAAAATTCAGGAAGATGTTCTACGTGAAGAAGGACAAGGACGAAGATCAAGTGCACATCATAGAGCACGACCAGCTGTCCTTCTCCTCCATCACGGACCAGGCAGCCAGTCTGAAGGAGGATCAGAAGCAGAATGAGCCTTTTGTGGACCCCCAGTCGCCAGCCCACCCCGATGGCTCTGCAGACCACGAAGCCTTGGGGTTTGCTGCATCGTCCTAATGCACCAGGGTCAGAATCACAAGAAGAAGCTTTGCTTGGTTCATTTTTATGAGAATGTAAAAGCCAAGATGATATTTTAACAAATGTCTACTGTTGGCAATATTTAAAACAAAGGAAGCTTTCGCTCTGGACGACTGTCTAACAGGATAGATACCTATAATTCATATGCAACAAAATTACCAGACTTTACTAATAGGTGAGGAATACCTGATGCGGTGTGTTACTGTGGTTAGGAGCAGATTTTATACTTTTAATCGGGGGCTTTTGGATTTGCATTTGAATCATTTAGCTGATGGCTAAAATCAACATTTATACCTAAAAACAAAAAAGAAAAGCATAGAGATGTGTTTTATAAATAAGTTTATGTGTACTGGTTTGCATGTGCCCATCCTAAATCATTATTTTTGTAGAATCTAAGTTAAACCTACTATTTATAATGAATAAGTAACTATTAACTGTGTACATATAAAATATAAATATGTTTATATCCTGTACATATGGTTTAGGTCACCAGATCCCAGTGTACTTCTTAACTCAGATTGTAAATATTTTTTCTTTTGATTTCTCTTTATACTAAAGGTTCAAGAGTTGCTGCAATAAAATAACAGGGAAAAATACACTTAAGAGTGAATTACTATAATATTCTGCTACAATAATATCTCTACTCTCTTGCAATAGGATGGTATCAGATATCTGGAATGTAAGCACTTCTCTGGAGGTGAACAAGCAATGAAGAAAATTATTTGTAAAAGGAGATACTTCATTTTGAAAATGCATTGTGATTTGTCATAACTTAGTACTAAAGCACAGAATGTAAATGCTAAAGCCCCAAATGAACAGATTCTATCAAATTAATCTGAGAGTTTTTAAATTTATAAGCTGAAATAAATTAAAAACTCATACCTGCTTGCAATCTTATGCTTTGATATTTCAAAAGTTTTCCTCCATGTAGGTAACATGAATGTACTCCTTTATTGAAACCATAAAGACAAGGTTTAAATGATGTACACAGGGCACTATGAAGGATTTGGGGAAGTTAGAAAGACCCTGTGTGGTCCCTAATGTTCAGTGACCTGCCAACCGCATCTCCCTTCCCATGGGCAGCTGCCTAGGAGGGAGTGCTTGAGGCTTGGTAAAAACTGGTGTCCCACTATGAGCCAGCCAAGCTGACCGGCCTCCCCCAGGCTGTTCACTCAGAAGTCTGTCTACCTGCTTGGTATGTACCTCACTGAGCACGCAGTTCCCAGTCCACCCCACTCTCTGTGGTGTCAGCCTTCAAACATACCCACTGACATAAGCAGGGCCCTCTGTTGTATAACATCGCATCTTGTCTCAGAGCAACAATAGCATGAGAAGGAATTATCTGGACCCCTTAACCCCAGTGCCACCCCATACCTCCTGTGATGGTGAATAGCCACCAGCAAAGCCCTTCTGATGTTTAAGTCCCAATATGTTGTTCTGTCTCTCCTCACCCGGGTTAGGCTGCCCCATGAACCTGTTTCTCTGCACTGTGCTGGCAGTGTCTCCACAGTGAAGACTGCTTCCCACAGGGTAGGTAAGTGGCCTAGGAGTGAAAGAGAGAGTCCTCAGAGGGTAGGGACAGGTGTCCTGGGCATGGCTGGGTTGGGAAAAGTCACAGTGCCTTTGTATGAGGCAGAGATACTGACTCACAGAAATGGTGGACTACACCAGGAGAACCCCATGTGCCAGCCCAAGTGCCAGCACTGCCCGACTTTCCTGTGAGAGAGGAATGCAAGTACAGAGTCAGAGCATACAGAGGAGATCCTGAATCAGGGTGGCATTCCAAGAGTGTAGTGCTTGACTTTCAAAGCTTTTTTGCCTCTGCAGAAAACACACTAAACCTTCATTGTCTTCACATTGTTTTTGTTGATTTTAATGTGAAGGATGAGATACAAAAATTTGAGTGAGTTTTTCCTCCTGCACTGTCAGATGTGAAATGTGTATCTTCCCTGGACTTGTTTTTGTGATTGGCCTATGGACAGAGGCCACCCTGTGTCCTGAGAGAGGTGTCCGCCAGAGAAGGGAAGCAGGGGCCCAGAGGTATGCGAGGATGGGGTAGGTGGGCAGCACAGCTGTGGGGAGCTGACTCGGGGTCCCTGTTGTTGGAGGTGAGCATGTAAAGCTGGAGGTGAACATGAATGCCAGAACAGGGTGGAGTGACGAGTGGAGTATAAGATTCTGAAGGGTCCCACTCCAGGGAGGAGTGTGCTAGACTGAATTCCTAAGTGTCCCACACCATGCCCTCAGGATAGAGAAGCAGCAGAAATCCTCATGTTTGAAGGATAGCACAACTCTGAGTGAATCTGAAGTTGCACGTATCCAGTAGGTATGTTGATTTTGGAGCTGCAGATAACACTCACCGTAAGAAGAGAACAGAGCATCTCCGAAGAAGAATTCTCAACCTCCCAAACATCAGAGGACTGATGACCAAGGGGTAGGAGCAGTCTCCCAAGGCATCTTAAAGGAAATTCACGGACACATCAAATTTGGCCCAGATGACTCCATTTATGAGGCTGGTTTCTCTCTAAAGTAGTCTACTCCTATGAGGTTTAAAAAGGGATTTATTCAAAGGTTGAAGAGAAAGATGAGTGGGAGAAAAAAGGCAAATAATAAATATTTATGAACAGATGAATATGATATGATTTTAGGAAAAAAAAATGTCTGGGAATGATCAGGTTCCTAAGACATGGGGTCACTTTTCCTAACCTGAAAAATGATCATGCTTAAACTTTCTACAAAGCAGCCTCACATTGCGTTTTGGAAAGTGAATGAGGAGGTGTTTATGAATTTGGAGATGGCTTCAAATAATATTTCATGTTAAATTGGCACAAGCATGTATAGAAGGTGATCAGAATTTAGCCCCAGGGGCTCCTGGCAGAGCAGCACATGCAGTCATTCCATGCTTGGTTGTCCAAACTACTGTGCTGAGGAACCAGTGATAAATACTGCAGTGATAAATTCAGGAAGGCCATGCTTTGGGGACAGAGATTCAGAAATGTGTACATGGCCAAACAGATTGTTCCTTGGCAAATTTAGATACAAAATTTCTTCTGGATGTTGAAATTGAAATAATACAGTATTTACCACTTACTTTATCTGACCCTGCTCAGTAAAATTTTGAACCTATCTCTTTAATGCATTTGAAGTTTTCCCCATAGTGCAGTGCTGAAGAATTTTCCAAGAGTTTGACTTTAGGAAAGCTTGGTGCCTCCAAGCCTTTTGTGTGAAGTCAAACATGACATAGTTTGCTGAAGATAGTTTTCCAAACATCCTACTTCTCTAAGGTGCTGTCAGGCAACCTCAGCTTTCTAAAATACAGTAAGGAACCCAGAAGTAAATAATGGTTTTAAGTATTTTTTACAGCCTGGCAGTAAAGTACATTTAATACATTTAATAAGAAGGAAGCCCTCTGTTTGCTTCACCTGGAACTTAAACTTAATCTGTACTCAGTTCTAACAAAATTACTGCTCTGGCTTTCCAACCCAGGGAAAATGAAGGAGAGCATTGTTCTCAAATTCCCAATAGCTCCTCAAATTCTGAGTAAGCACACCTTTCACGGTGTAATTTTTACTGGCACAAGTAAAAAAAAATAAGTCTCAAGATGCAAGTTGGCAATAATTACTGTGCCATCACTGAGGCACCCTTCCAGTAGCACTGTCTCTGTTCCATGAAAGCATCGCCAGTTCTTGCACCATCCTTTTGGCCTCCTGTGACCCACAGAGTCAGAGAAGAACGATTTACTCATCCTTTGTATACTTAGAAGGAACAATGGTCACATACTCCAGGAACATGACTCCATTCTCATTCAGTGTTATCCATTCAGCACCAAATGTCAGAATATACTGAGATCAGTATAATTTCAAAAGCATGAATATTTATTTGGAAAACTGAATTTTCCACATTGGTAAAAATTTGCCTCTTGTGGACCCTAGTGTACTGTGCCAGCCCTGTGAGAACCGAGTGCTAACTGCTAGTAAGGGCAGAGAAGGGACACCAGGGCAGGAAGCTGCCCAGAAGGCAGAGCCTTCCCTCCTAGAGCCGTCACAGGCAGGGGCAAATAGCCCCCAGGATTTCTTTTGATGTTATTTCAGTAACACAAGTTTCATATAACAATGTTAGACTACTACATTTAATAGACACTGTTTAAGGAGATAGAGGAAACTAAAATGTATTAACATACAAAATGATGAAAATTCATTTTAAGGGGTTTCCTTTTTAAATGTTAGTTTCCATTGCCTAGAAAGTTCCCTTAGAACATCTCACTTTCCAACAAGAGGTACCTTGGTAATGAATGGATAGCCTTGCTGTCATTTGCATGTGAAGATGACTCTATGCTAAAATCTGCTGTAAATGAACATTATTAGTTGAAGAAATTAACTGAGCTTTGAGGGTTTTTTAATCCTCTTTTTTATTTATATAGATTATATACAAATATATATTCATACATATAGCTCGGCACTGAATTTCCATTTCTGAGCGGTGGCTAGAAACCCAGAGCCCATTAGCTTTGGCACATTAGCCAGGAGATAATTAACCTTCCAGGGAGTCCTGGGCCCTCGAAGGCATCAGCATAATTTACCTGAAACTTCAGCGTTCCTTTGTTCTTGCTCTGTGTAAACATTGTTGCTTTAAATTGCTGCATTAATGAGGGAGAAGCATCCTTTTTTAAGTGCTCCTTTGAATAATGAAAGTTTTCTTCTGTGTGGTTGCTACCAACTTGGTGCATGGTGTGATTGCTGTCTAAGACAATGTGACCCTAAAACTGGAACTGAGCCTGTTTCCACCCATTCGGCAATGATCAAGCTAGATTTAAAGGTCACTGTGATTCACTACAGGCTGGCAGAACTCTATTACAAAGTAAAGTAGTTGACTGCCTCTCTTTTGTTATGTTCTGTCACTTTCCCCACGCTGCTCCCCCTGAATTCTGGGAGCAGGGAACAAAGCCAGGCTGCCCCAGGCACCCATCTTGGGACAGAGTGCAGAAGAGCCCAGCCTGGCCAGGCATTGGCTTGGCACATCCTGTAGGTGATGCGCTCCTTGGAGGTGTGCTGGCTGGAGAAGGACCACATGCCCGTGCGCTGACCTGCAGGAATCTGGCTGTACCACCAAGAACACATTTCAGGTCATTGTGGAAGGCTTTAAAGAAAAAAGGAAAGTAACCCAGACTCTTAAAACCTTTTTATTTCTGGCTAATCTGTGTTAAGTCTGCAACTCTCAAGTTTTCATGGCTATATCTAAGGCAGAAAGAAAAGAGGAATTTTATGAGTGGTAATGCAGTCTATCTGGTCAAATGATTTATACATAGCATTTTACCAAAGTCATAAAATGGTAAAATCATGTGTATTTATTTCCTAGTTCATAACATGTGAGAGGTCATAGTCACTAAATCCCACTCAGAGCCAAACTCTGAGAAGAGTTGGATGTGATTTCCTGACAATTATACCTATGAACTCAGAAGAAAGATGTTATCAATGGGGGTAGAGAAAGAATGAAGAAGTCACTGAGTTACACACTATTTTTACAGAAAGGGAAAAAAATCCAATTGAAAAATTCAGTTTCTGACAAACCCAAATTCATCTGAAAGCCTGGACGGATGTCATTTTTTAAAATTTATGGTAAGCAGTGACTGAAAATCAACATACTGACAAAACTTTAAACATAACAGTGAAGCATTACCATTAGAGGTCAATAGGTGGAATCTCTGGGTGTGCAAAAGCTCAAAATAATTAGACATGATTTGCACACTTAAGTTTTGGACCGTCCCTACCAGTTCCTTGACACCACATCCCAACCCTCCCGATCACCCACCGAGCCCCCAGTCAGGTGGCAGAGGCTGTGAAGCCATGAGTTAGGAGCTCTCCCCTTTGCTTCTGAAAGGAACTTAGTCCCTTT